CAAGCACTTCATTAAGCACTTAACAAATTAACTCGTTGATTTCCAGGGAGGTTCCTGGAGGCTTGATTTCTACAATCCAGGCCTTCAAATATGAACATAAGCCTGAGCTCTGAGACTCGGCCACAAACCTGATTGCATATCAACAGACTGGAAAGTGATCCTCACGGGTCTGCGACCCAGCCTAGCTGGGACTGAGAGGCAATGGTTAGGAGAAACGGGCTGCCCCAAGGAGGAAGATGCTCCTGGTCTGGGAGGCTGAGAGATGGGACTGGCCTGTTAAGTATCAGCGAGCCTTCCTCTGTAACCCAGGCAGCTGCCATGCTCTGCCCAGCTGCTGCTGCACTGGCTGGCAGCTCTTGGTTGCCATGGCAACCCATTATAGGGATGCAGAATAAAGAGCAGGAGTTTCTGGAAGGCAGCTTCCAAGACCAGAAATCTCCCTCATGGGGCCTCATGATGCCTCTCTCTGCTCCTCCCATCCCTGTCCCCAGAGTGTGTGTTTGTAGGAAGAAGGTAGGGGAGTTAACTGAGAGAGTGGGCTGGGGAGTGGGGGAGGGCAAGGAAGGGGAAAGGCCATTACCCACAATGCATTGTTGCACGCTTTGGTTGAGAGGGGAAGATTAATGAAGCCTTGGTTGCTCTGTCTCAAGAATGAGAAACTGTTCCAAATCTCAAGCTATCAGGCCTAGGCATGTCCTTGGAGAAAGGAGCAGGCATTCCTTCCCAGCAGAGGGGCATTCACTGGTAAATGCCGATGGGGATTTTGTTCACCCTCTCTGAAGGGAATAAACTCCACTGAAAACGTGGGTGTGTTTAATACTGAGGTCTCCATTATGTCTTAGCCAAGGAAAGTTAAGAGTGTCAGAGCCAGAAGGGTCCTTGGAGGATGAAATGTCAGAGCTGGGAGGGACTTTAGAGCAGAGAATTTCAGGGGTAGAAGGGGTCTTAAGAGACCAAGTGGTCCGGTCCCCTCATTTTATGGAGAGGGAAACAGATGTTCAGAACAAGGAAGAAGGGCACCCAATTAGCAAAGTGGGTTCTAGGTCTGGGTCTTCCAGCTCCTAGATCTTCCATTGTACCAGGACACTTTTCACCAAAATGGACCTGGTCCAAGGACATACACGGTAGCTGAAGGAAGTAGGGGAGGAACACTTTTTACTGGGTTAAGCCCATGTACATCTGCAGTTATCTCTCTGGTAATTCTTGGGTTAAAGTTGTATTCAAACACAAGGTATGATCTCTTTTCCTCCATTCCTTCCTCTTCTTTCTTTGCCCCAGGTATGGGGAGATACCAAGGTCAGAGAAACGAAAGAAACCCTGAAAGCTCAAGCGGGTCCCCTTTGGGCCAAGGGAAACGAAAATATAACTGTTCTCTGTCGTTTGCTTCCTTCGCTCCTACCCAGCAGACACTCCACCTTCTCCAGGTTAAAAGCTCCGAGGCCCAGCTGGGAAGGAGAGAAGCCAATTCATGGACCACATCCCAATTTATCACTATCTCTGGTCCCATGAGGCTCAGATGAAAAGGAAGGGGCTTCTGAGGCAGCTGGTTAACAGCTGTCTTCCTCAGGGAATGAAGGGGCTGGTCAAAGGGCAGGCAAATACTCCCCAGGCTGAAGAGCTGAGCGGTGACACAGGCCACATCCCCCTACCCCCAGCAACCCCCCCCACAGCCCTCCCCAACGCCTCCTCTACCCTCCAGCTGACTGCAGTGACTCACAAACACAGCAGGATAAATCAATATTGATGGGGAGAGAAATCTCACTTAGAGATGAATTTTCCAAACAGGACTAAGGAGCCTGTGAATGGAAAGTATATGATGGGGGAGGGGAGGTGTCACTGAAGTGTGAAGGCACCTCATTAAATCCTCCTCCCAACTGCCTGGGCTGAATTATGACAGAAGGGGAGAGGTAGAGAGGAGGGAGAGAGCAAAGGGGTGGGGGAGGAGAGGGAGGTGGACGGGGAAAAGGTGGAAAGGAGAGGGAAGGAAAGGAGGGAGAGAGAAGAAAAGGAGACAGAGAGAGAAGAGAGACAGAGACAGAAAGACAGACAGACAGAGACAGAGAGAGAAAAGGAAGGGGAAGAGAGGGTGAGGGGAAGGAGGAAGGGAAGAGAGAAGAGAGAGAGGAAGGGGAAGGGGAAGAGGGAGAAGAGGAGGAATTCTTCCCAGTGTAAGGAGGAGGTTCCCTTTAAAATCAGAAGATGCTTTGGGTCAATTCAATGGCCAATCGGGCACTTGCCTCATCAAATATAGCTGGAGTGAAGTGGGAGGTGTTATAGGGAGAGGGGGCTCAGCCAAAACCAAATGCTGAAAGGGTCAGGGGAAAAGGGACAGGGGGCTCTGGAGCTGTTCACAGGTAGTGCCATTTCAATGGTGTAGCATCCTAAAACCCTGCCACTGTGACCCCAGCCCCATCCTCCGATCCAATAGAACAACTATTCTGTGCCCGGCACTGGGGATACAAAGACAAGAAATAATCCCTGCCCTCAAGGAGCTTCCATTCTACTGAGCTTCAGGGCTACTCTAACATACTGTAAATGGATGTTTGCACTTGACAACTAAGATTATTAGGAAAGATTTCCTGTAGGAGGCATACCCTCCCCCAGTGACATCCCTGAGTAAAGTGACAATAATTAACAGCCAATTAAATGTATGTAGCACCTTGAGCTTCACAAAACACTTTTCTCACAACTACCCTGTAGGCGGTACAGGTATCATTATCCCTGTTTTACAGATTAGAAAACTGAGGCTCAGAGAGTGGGAATCCATTTTCCCAGGGTTAATATATATCCAGCTAGGATTTTATTCCTCTTGACTAGGCCAGGGCCAGCCCTCCCTCTGGTACCAGAGTTGGTTTCAGGGTATGAAGTGGCTGATGGAGAATGGGGGAGGGATAGAACTATATTTATATGTGACAAAGTACGGGGGCAGGCTTTTCTCCTGTAATTTCTAGGTTAAAGTCGCATTCACAATAGCACAATAGAAGCCATCATTTCTTTTTCCCATCTCTCTCTTTCCTCTTGACTATCATCAGAACCTGCTTGGCAGGTGCCCTGAGGCAGAACCCAATGTCCAAGTCCCTTTGGCAATGACACATTGAGGCGGCAGGGAAGGCAGGGAAAACTGAAACGTTCCCTGCTCCTGACCTATGCTCCTAAACTCTATTGGTCCTGACACTGGCTGGGCCATTTGCCCTCACTAGGCCTGTCTGGGCTTCTCCTTTTTTTCAACTGTAAAGCCTGAAGAATGTCTTTTTTTTTTTTTTAGTGAGGCAATTGGGGTTAAGTGACTTGCCCAAGGTCCACAGCTTGTACATGTCAAGTGTTTGGTCTGAGGTCAGATTTGAACCAGGGCCTCCTGACTTCAGGGCCGGTGCTCTATCCACTGCGCCACCTAGCTGTTCCAAGAATGTCTTTAAAAGCCCTCCCAGTTCTTGACCTGTTCACCGGCATCCTCTGGGGCCACTGAAATTTGGTACAGTAGAAAGAATGAGGATGGAATGGCAGCCCTGGAGACAGAGAGGGCCAAGGAATTTTTAAAGGGTCCACTGAAAGTCCATGGCAGGATATTGGAGCAGGGAAGATCTCAGGTCCCCCCTGAACTTCGACTGCAAACAAAGGGTCAGGTACTCATCTCCTTCTCCAGAGCCTAGAAAAGGCATTTGGCAAGTAACTGTAATTGTCATAATCATGATAGCTTAAATTTACATAGCAAAGTGCTTTTTTTATCCATCATCTGACCAAGTTTTTCACAACCCTCCTCTGAGAGAGATGATGTTATTATTAACTACCCTGTTGTACAGCTGAAGGAAATTGAGGCTGACAGGTTAACTGACTGCCCCAGGATCACACGGCTAGTAAACTGAAGGAGAATCCCAGGGCAGATATTCCTGAGTCCAAACCTAACATGCCGTCCACTCTCCCAACTGCCTCTGTATAGCACAGACTCATCAGGGACCATGCTGGTAGCCAAGTCCACAAAACCGTCACCAAGGCTCATCCCCTGGGAAATGGAAAACACTTTGTAACTAAATTCACAGCCATGGGATTCTGCCCAGAACCTAGCTATGGAGCAAACACGGGGTGGAGTCTATGCCTGGAAATAACAGATTTGTCTGTAAAGAAAATACCTTGAAAACCCACTGCGTTTCTCAGCAGCCTCTGGGAGAAAACAGAAATTCTTTGGCTTAGCATTCAAGGCCCTTTACAATGCTGGCCTCAATTCCCTGCTTCAACAGACTCTTACATTTTGGCCTAGCTATTCTCAAGCACCTGCTTGTCTGCCTTCCTCCACTGCTCAGTTTTTGCAAGCTGCTCCCCTCCCCAATCCCAACACCTAGAACCCACTCCCTCTATATCCCACCAGCTGAAATTCTTTCTCTCCTTCCAAGACCCCATTCGGGTCCAACTTCCTTCAAAAAGCCTCTTCCGTGTCTCCCCCCCGGCTCTCCCAGCCTTAGTGGAAAGTGGTCTCTCCTCTTCAAATGATCCTAGAGAAAGAGCTTGGTCTAGGCTGTCTTAGAGCACCCTTTTGTCTACAGCTCTCCCCATTACTGTCACTCCCCCCTGTATTAGGCTTACCCATTCACTGCTGGCATCTCTCCTTCCTTGCCCACCCCACCACACCCCCAGAAGAATGTGACTTTCAAGAGGGCAAGGGCTGTTTCATCTTTGCCTCTGCATCTCCAACGGCTTAGCACAGCTCCTAGCACATAGTAGGGGTTTAAGAAACGCTCATTTTTGGATTGACTGAGTGACTGATAAGACTGCTATTCACTTTGTATCCCCAGTACCAAACACAATCTCTTGCATGCAAGAAACGCTTCACATTTTCTGAATGAAGGTAATCAAGACTGGCCTGTCCAGAGCTCTCCAGAGGTCCTGTTATCAGTCCCTTGCTAATGGGACTGAGGTCCCCAGGATAGCCACAGTTGCCATCTCTTTCTAATGGCTGCCCAGGCCAGAGTTCCTGAAAGATGATCCTTGGGCCTGTCTGTCCTCACCTCCAGCTTTTGCTTGGTGTCAGCTCCCAGCAGGTCTCGAATATCCTCATTATAGATCTCTAGATAGGAAGCCCGGACCAAGAATTTGGTGTTCTCTGCACACTGTATGGAGGAAATGGAGAGAGACTTTGATCCTCCGGCACAGAGCCTTGCAAAGCCAGACCTGAGAGCACCCAGGCTGGTCCTGCCGAAAGGATGCTTAGCTCTAAATTGCATCTCATTTGGTCAGCGTGCACAGAGGTATGTAATGAGCAGAGATTAGCTTGGGTTTCTCTAGAACTGTACAGTTTACAAAATACTTTCCTTACAAAAGCCTAGGGTGCAATGGACTCTGATGAGGCTGGAAGAAATGATGAATGAGATGAATACAAAGAAGTATGGGAAGATTTACATGAACTTAAAACCAAACAAAATAAGGAGAACCAGAAATAGTTACGCAGTAACTATTACATCAACGTAAAGAATGTGTTGCTGTTCAGTTATGTCTGACTCTTCATGACCCCATTTGGAATCTTCTTAGCAAAGACACCGGAGTAGTTTGCCATTTCCTTCTCCAGCTCATTTTACAGATGAAGAAATGGAGCAGAAGAGGGTTATATGACTTGCCCAGGGTCACACAGGTAGTAAGTGCCTGAGGTCATATTTGAACTCAAGTCTTTTGGACTCCAGGCCCAGTGATCTATAAACTTTGCCCCCTCGCTCATGGGGCATGCTTCACAGAGAGTAGCAGCCTGAAGAGTAGTAGAAAACTGGATCTGGAGCCAAGAAGATCTGAATTCAAATTCAGCTTACTTTCTGATACTTACTTTCTCTGTGACCCTGGACAATTTATTTAATCTCCATCAGGCTCAATTTCCTCTTTAGCAAAATGGGGATAATTGCATCTATCAACTCACACAGGGTTATTTTAAGTTCAGAGGAGATAGTGTCTTTAAAGCTCTTTGTAAACCACCAAAGCATTATATAAAGGTGAGCTATTTATTACCTTGCCTTCTAAGAGTTAAACAATTTTCTTATATTGTATTGAATTTGGATAAATGTTCCTTTGCAACTTCCCATAACTCTCTCTTTTCCAGGTAGAAAAATGAGGCCTAAGGTGGATGCCTGACCTTGACCAAGGAGCCTAGCAACCTCTTTTTGTGTGGCAAAGAACTGGGTGCCCACCTTATTGGGGGATGGCTGAATGAATCATGGCAGATAACAGAAGACTTGGGACGGAATACCACTTTGCTGTTTCAGAGAAACCTGGGAAGACTTGTAGGAACTGATGCAGAAAGAAGTGAGCAGAACCAGGAGGACATTTTATGTAACAAAAACAAAAGTTCTATAAAGACAAATAACTTAAGATGTAAGAACTCTGACATGACTCCAGAGGACCTTTAATGCAGTCTGCTGCCCACCTCCTGACAGAGAGGGGAACTAAATATGCAGAATGAGACATTTTTTAATATGGCTAATATGGGAATTTGTTTTACCTGAATATTTGTTACAAGGGTTGTCACATATTTGTTATTTGTTGTATATTTGTTACAAGAGATTTGTTTTGTTTTTCCTTTTTTTCCAGTGGGGAGGTGATAGGGAGAGAAAATATTTGTGTTAATTGATTTTTAAAAATAATTTTAAAAAATAGTTGAATTAGTTTGAAGAAATAGATTCTCTTCTTGATGGAACTCACCCCCAGGGGTCACCAAACAGGTGAGCCTGTGGAAAATGGCAGGCTTAAGGTGATTTCTCTTCAACCAGCATCCCCTCCCAGCCCAGTTCCACCCCCTCCAGCCCTCATACCTGGACACTCTCAAAAATATGTTCAAACGCTCTGGGGATGATGCCTCTCTGGGTGGAAGGGTCTGGCAGGCCTTGCATAGTAAAAGACTTCCCACTGCCTGTCTGGCCATAGGCGAAGATGGTGCCATTGTATCCCTCAGTGACACCCTGCACACAGAACCAACACAGACACCGATATTTAGGGTGTATTGGGGTAGAGAAGGAGAGAAAATTGATCTTTGTTAATTGAAAAAAAAATTGAAAAAGCAAAAACAATGTCAAGGGTGGGTCATGGGCCCAAGCTGTTAAGTAACCCTTGGTCAATGGGGGTGGGGGTAGGGGTGGGGGTGGTTCACCAGCTACTCAGCTCCCTTTCTGGTAAAAGGGAGAGGGGATGGTCTGAGCTATTCCTGGAGATCTGGAGCAGCCTTGGGGTTTGAGAGCAGTCATAGCTCCACAGCATCTCAATCAATCATTTATTAAGCACCTACTATGTGCCATACACTGTGCTAGGTGATGGGGACTCAAAGACAGAAATGAGATGGTCCCTGCCCTCTGGGATCTTACACTGCACCAAGGGGAACTATATGGACACAGAAAAATAAATACACAGCCATTAAGCAGAGCCTCACAGCCTCAGTCTTTCTTCTTCTTCTTCTTCTTCTTCTTCTTCTTCTTCTTCTTCTTCTTCTTCTTCTCTCTCTCTCTCTCTCTCTCTCTCTCTCTCTCTCTCTCTCTCTCTCTCTTGCTTTCTCTCTCTGTGTCTGTCTCTTGCTCTGTCTCTCTCTCTCCCTGTTCCTTTCTTTGTCTCTGTCTCTCCCCCGGTCTCTTTCTTTCTCTGTCTCTCATTTGTGCACACTCTCTTTCTCTCTCTTTCCATATCTCTCTCTCTCTGTCTCTGTCTCTCTCTCTCTGCCTCTGTCTCTGTCTCTGTCTCTCTCTGTCTCTCTCTGTCTCTCTCTCTCTCTCTCTCTCTCTCTCTCTCTCTCTCTCTCTCTCTCTTTCTGTCCCATCACCATATCCAATTAATTGCCAAGTCTTGCTGTTCCTGTCCATTCAACATCTCTTACATACACCCCCTTCTCTTGACGCCCAACACCATCACCCTAGTTGAAACCCTTGGAAGCTCTAGCCACAACCACCGTGATGCCCTTCTCATTCAGTCTCCCTGCATCCAGACTCTTCTTTCTCCAACCCATCCTCCCCACTGCTGCCAAGTGACATTTCTAAGGCCAAGGCCTGATCGTGCCACTAACCTGCCCAAGAAGGTCCATTGGCTTTCTATTGTCTCTTTGATCAAACCCAAATCTCTCAGCTTGGCATTTAAAGCCCTTGACACCCTGGCTTTGGCCTGTCTTTCCAGACTGAGTTCACATTCCTCCCCTTCAGGCATCCTAGCTTCTAGCCAAACTGGCCTGTTTGCTTTTCCTCAAACATGACACTTCATCTCCACACCTTTGCACCGGCCATTCCCTCATGCCTGGGTTGCATGGCTTCCCTCAGCTTTCCACCTCTGAGAATCTTCAGTTTCCTTCAAAATTCAGCTCAAACTGAGCCCTACATGAAGTCTTGCCAGATTCTCCCTTATACCATCGATCCCCTCCCCCAAATTACCTTGTACCTCTTGCACAGTGCCTGGCACATAGCAGGTGCTTAATAAATCTTTTATCGACTGAATGATTATATTTACTTAAATGTGTTTACTGTTGTTTCTCCTAATAGTGGGGAGAGACTGTCTCATTTTTGTCTTTTTGTCCCCAGATATTAGTGCCTAGCACATAATACCGTCCTCACAGCTGGGAGTCAGGACAGCGATGGGCAAAAGCTGAACCAGATAATGCATCTGTATCCGGGTCACAGGGGACCTTGGGGTCTCCTCACTATTGATTTGCACATAGTTTGCATGCTGCTCATTTAATGAGTAGAATTCATCAAGGGCAGAGGCTCAGTGTCTAATTTCATTATTGGTGCCTAGCACTGTGCTCTATATAGAGTATTTTAAAAATACCTGTTCTATGGAATTGATTGGTTGAAGGAACTGTGGATCTGGGAAAGGCTCAAGGGAGACATGATAAAATATCCTCAAGTATTTGAAGGACTCTCATATGGAAGAGGGATTTCACTTCTCCTATGTGATCCCAAGAAGGACCAAAGGCTCTTCATTTAGTATTGCATGACCTTGGCCTCCTCCCTCAAGGAGTTTTAGATTCTATTGGAGGCTTACAACACAGATAAACCAATGCAGAATAGAAAAAAATAATAAAATATAATAAATAAAAATAAATAAATAAATAAATGAGTTGCCAAAAGGCAAATTTAGATTTGCTATCTCGAAAATTTTCTAAAGGTTAGAGCTGTCCAGAAGTGGCTGGGTCCCTTCTGAGGGTTTCCCCTCATCGGAGATCTTTGGGCAGAGACCGGATGCCCTCTAGCTATGTTACATTACGGCCTCAGGTATGTTACCAGAGGGATTCCTTTGGGGGTATTATTGTGCTAGACAGTTGCTGAAGTCCCTTTCAACTCTCCTATAATTTTGCACGAATAAAGAATGATTTCAGGGAGGGAATCAGGAAAAGGTCTCTTGAACCTCTCCACACGTGCAGTGCAGCAGATAAGTGCAAAACCCAGCACAAAGTGAACTCGAGTGAAAACTGATGCAACATGAGCAGTAGGGTGGAGATCAAGAGTGATCCCGGGAAGGTTGTCTGGGATCAAGTTACAAGAGCATTGGAGAGGGAAGAGGAAAGCAGAGCCTCCCAAAGCATGAAATTCCATGTGGGAAAAGACCTAATTGTTAGGAAGTTTTTTTCCTGACATCAGGCCTCTCAATTTGTCTCTTGGCAACTGCTACTCAATACTTAGGTCCTCTAAGAAGAAGAATCTTGGTGCCAGCCCAGGTCAGAAATGTCCCCATTGTCTGCTGTCCAATCTAGGTGAGGATGCTATTATCAGGGGCAGTGGAAAGTGGAGACTCAAGGATAGAACGAGGGATGACCAACTACTGTAGCACATTTGAGAGAAAGCAGAAACCCTGGTAATTGGCAGAGTGAGAACGGGACCAGAGACTTAGGACTTGAGGGGAAAAGAAACTTAAGAAACTTCGGGATGCATTGACAAGGTTGAGATAAGACTGGGCTGTTAACCTAACTGGTAGGACAAGAGAAACACAGACTTCTTCACTTCTCTGACCCCCAGGAATGAAGAGCAGGTCCAACCCGTTTCCATCATGGAAAACTGCCAAAAGACTGACTCCTTTCCATGCTGATTCCTGAGAACTGGAAAACCGGGCTAGATAAAAGGAGAAATCCAAATAACCAGAGAAAAACTGTTATCTTGTTTTCAGTGGTTTCATATCCCTGAATAAATGGGAGAATTGAGGGGTATTTCACATTACTCCAGGGCTGGCCAGCTACTAGCCCAATCCTGTCTTCTGAGACTAGGGCCTGGTCACTAGGCTAACTCGACCTTGGGATTTCCCTCTGTAAAGCCATCAAGCCAAGTCTGAGGTCAGTAGACAACCCCAAGGTAGAGGAGACTTATTCAATATTCCCACATCCCTGAAGCACCCCTACCAGTATCAGACTAACACATTTTAGAATGGCCTTTGTACATGACTGCCATGGAACCCTCAAATGCTCCTATTGGAATATGGGACTGGGCAAAAAGTAGTGGATTTGGAATTAAAGAGCCTAGGTTCAAATCCCACCACAGATGCTTAGTGGACGTGTGACTGTGGGCAAACGATTGAACCTCTCTGGTCCTTAGGGTCCTTCTCTGTAAAATGGGGAGGCTGAAGTAAATGGCCTCTGAGGTCCCTTTCGGTTTAAAGGGAATTCAAGTTATAAGAGGGAAGAGCTGCCCAACATTTGTATCACAGAATCCCTGCCTCTGGACATGGTAGAAGTCCCACACCCATACACACACACACACACACACACACACACACACACACACGAGGTCTTAGAGGCTAAATGACCACACGTCAAAGGTGTTGAAAAGGGGTTTTTTGCTCAGGTTGGACAAGATGACTTCTGGGAAAGTGAAGCCCAGAGAGAGAAAGCAGCCAAGGTCACACAGTAAGTCAGTGGCTGAGCTGAGGCCTGTGCTTTCCTAACAATGCCACTGATTCACTGGCAGTAGGACATGAGATGCTTTGAGCAGCCTGATCAGTGGACTTGGGGCTTAAGCAGTTTATGAGAGCTAACTAAATTGCCAAGGGCTGAATGTGGAACCCTAAGCTTCAATGCCCCTCAATATACTTGAAGCAATGGGCCATAAATGTGAGGCACAGTACCCAGCAGACACCAAATGGGGCCCCTTGACCTCCCTGAGACTGCTTAATGAAATGCCAGCTGTGTTTCTCTTTCAACAGCCTTTGGATGGGCTCAAGTTATCTTCTAATAAAATCAGCCCTGCTATTTCAGGACAGGGTTATTTAAACTCAAATTTTATCATCTCCTGCTGTCTGCAGGTCAAGGCTGGGACCACACTGGGCTTCGGGTAGACACCTTCCTCCTTCTGCTATCCTTTTATGGGACCCATTTCTTATTTTACCTGGGCCTGTGGTTTCACAGAGAACTTCTAGCAGGGAAATTCCCTCTACCAATGACAATCTGTGACTGATTAGCAATTTATTAAAGTTTTCTAATGCCCTTGGTGGGGCACGGAGAAGGTTCATGTCTTGCCCGGGGTCACACAGCCAGTACTGTCACAAGTGAGACTTGCACCTAGGTTTTTCTGACTCCCAGGCTGCCCCAGAGAATTCCTTCAAAGGGCCCTAAGTTAGACAGGTCTGAGTGCCCAGTGGACAAGAGAAACAGGAATCACAGCTTCAATAAAGGCTGGGGACATGGGAAGAGTTTCAACACAGGAAGCCTGGAATCCTCCAGGTTTAGGGAAGAAGCCTGGCCTTTCTGTCAGGGAGAAGGAAAGCTGAAGACCTGAATCCTGGGAAGAAGAGGTTGACTCCCACAAAGGAAAAGGGGAGCATGGTGGTGGATACTGAGAACTGGAACTCTGTGGGAAATATACGTCTGAGTGAAAAGGGAAGTCAAAGCCTGAATAGGTAGGTAGGGTAGAGTGTAGGAGTGTGATGTATGGTTCAATCAGTCAGTCAACAAATATTTATTAAGGGCTTACTCTGTGCCAGGCATTGTGCTAAGCGCTTGGAGATACAAAAAAAGCCTCAAAGAGTTCACCTTATGAGGGGGAGAGACGGGATTTGAGACGGGATGAGACAATATGCAAATCATTATGTACACACAAGATAAATAAAAGCTAAGGTAATGCCAGACCGGAGGGCACTAGCTTGAGTGAGGGGCAACCAAGTGCGGCCTTTTTTAGAAGGTGGGATTTGAGCTGAATCTTGAGACAGGAGGTTGGCACTCTAGGGCTGCCTGCCTAGAGTCCTAAGCAGAGGGAGGCTAGGGAGGCAGCAGACCAGAATCCAAGGGGGATGGGAGTGAGCCCGCTGGTAAAGACTGAATCCTAATCAGAAGGGCAGTCCTAGATTCCTTGGATGTGGAAGAGAAGCTAAACAGAGCCTGGCCTCTGGACCATCATCCTCCCCTGGTAGAACGTAAACTGCTCGAACGCAGCAACTGCTTTTCCCAGGGCTGGGCGCACGATGGGTGCTGGCTAGAATGGGGAGGCAAGGCGGTGGAGAGCGGGCTGGGTCCTGGGCGGGGCCCCGTCTGGCTCGGTCCTCCGCCGGCCTCCCTCGGCCGAGCACACGCCCCCCGACCCCTACCCCTCCCTCACCTCCACCAGGGGGTAGGCGATCTCGTTGTAGATCTGCTCGGTGTAGTGCTCCAGATAATAGGCGCCGTCGAAGGTGAACTGCTTGGGCGGCTCGTCCGCGGCGCCCGGGTTCTGGATGAAACACTGGCCGCGGGCGCAGTCCACTGTCACCACGGACTGGCAGTTCAGCTCTTTCTCCCGTTGGTTCATGGGCCGACAGCGAACCACCACTTTCACTGTCTCCGAGGCCATGCTGCCGCCGCGGCGGAGGGCGCGGGGCCCTGGCCCGGGCTGCAGGCCCACGCCGGGGGGCCTACTGGGCTGGGCGGGGCAGGGCAGGGGCGGGGCAGACTTGGCCGGGGTGGGGGAGGGGGCACCCCTTCCCACTGGACTGGCGCAAGGCCTGAGGAGAACCTGGGACCTGTTCGGTGGTCTGGGGGCGGGGCTTCGACAGGACTGGGTGGGGCTTATCTGGGGTGGGGGTAGAGAGGGGTGGAGGGCTGACTACTCGAACTAGTTTGGGTGGGAGGGATGGCTAGGGAAAGAGGGTGCGCTTAGCCTCTCTCCTCAGGGCTGGTGCAAGAGTGGCTTGGACCTGGGGGACCAGCGGGGGATCCTGCCCCTCGGGGTTGGGCACAGGGCCCGGGGAAGACGAGGTGTCTCCTGGCTCCTCAGGGTGGGTGCAGGGCCTGGGGGCAGCGCAGGGGTCTAGGGAGGGAGGTGGGTGGCTGACACCGACCTCCTCGCGAGGGCCAGGTGCCAGGGCCTGGAGGGGATCGGCAATGAATGCACTGTGGGTCGAGGGGAGGGGAGCCCCACTCCTGGGTGGGCGGGGGGTGTCTAGGGGTGGTGCAGCGTCCGGTAACGGGGCCTAGTTGGGGCGGGGGGAGGGGGAAGAGGGCTCCCGGGCGGGCGGAGCCACCCGGGTGACCCCGGCGCGCTCGCGCGTGGGAGGTGGGGGGCCGAAGCCGGCGCCTGCTTCTCCTCCTCCGCCCCGGCTCTCCGGTCCCTGTGGCTGGGCCGGGGGGGAGGGGGGAGGGGTCTCCGCGCTGCAGGCGCCGCCGCCGCAGGGACCCAAGCCCGGGAGCGGCCCCTGCCTCCCACCTGTCGCGGCGTTTGCGGCTGCCTAGCGACCGGCTCTGGCGTCACAGGCGGCGGCCCCGGAGAAGGCCCGGAAGTTCCAAGCTTTTCTGTGGCCCATCAAAAGCCACGTCCAGCGAGCGTTCCTCTCTAGCCCCACCGCGCCGAGCAGCCTTGCCCCAGTCACCCTTTCAACCCGTGGGGGGGGGGGGGTGTCGATCCAGGGAGACACGGGGCTCAGAGATTCCCAGAGAGACGACAGACAACATCAGTAGGTTTGACTGCCCTAAGCAATTGACACACGGGTGCTTAAGAGGCACTGATGAATTGGAGAGGGAGGGACAGACACCTTTGAGTTAGAGATCCGGGCTAGATACATTTTAGAAACACTCATTAAGCTAGACAGAGATCCCGGAAAAGGGAGGGATGGTTAGCGTCTAGAAGACACAGGCACGATTTTGGGAAAAGTTAGGGATGTGGGGAGAGATAGATGAGTGCTTTAAAGTAAGACACCCCTAAATAAGAAACTCAAGGACAGAGAAAGAGACCCCCAACCTCCCTCTCCCTTCTCCCTAACCCTACTCTTTACAGAAGCAAAAGTAGTGGCTACCCAGGCCGGGTTTCCCTTTAAAAGACAGGCAAGTCGGGGCTACTAAACGGTAAATTGTTTCGAGAAGGTAATCCTGTCCTCAACCTATTCAACCAAGTCTCACTCCTGAGCCTGGCCAGAACCGGGAGTTGAGGGGGAGAGGGGTAGTAATACCGGAAACAGGTTCCAGGCCCAATGGGATTCAGGCAAAAGAGTCCAGGGGCCGGGGACAGGAGACCAAAGACGAGACGAACTCAGTCAAAGAAGAGGCTCGCACGAGAGGTCTCCGAATTTGTGAAAAGGGAGATTTTTTAAAAAAGAAACCTAGGACGCTTAATCCAGATTGCCTCACCAAAAAAAGCCAAAAAGAAAAAAAAGAAGAAAGAAACCTAGAGTTTTATTCCCAGGAAGTTCACACAGTAATGGACAATTAGGCTCATATTAGTACATTCCTAGTTTGTAGGCAAATAGGGCAGTTGTCTAGTGTCTTTGCACGTAGTAGGTACTTAATTATACTTGTTGAATGAATGTTAAAGTGCTTGGGAAAAGTTGTTCTATGTAGGGTTAACATTCCTCTTGAAACCTTCTTTACGCTATTTGCTCCATCTTTTTTTTTTTTTAATGATCTGATACTGGCCTGTTCTTGTTATTGGCTGGGAGTCAGAGCTCATGTCACAATAGGGGGAAACTGTGACACTGGGACCCAGGACTAGGGCTGCATCCCCCTACCAAGCATTCTTCACTTGATGGAATAAATGGATTCCACCAAAGAGACATAGAAAACCAACCCTATTTCCCCATTCATCTTCATTAAGTCAAAGAAATGTTTTCATTGATAACCATGCTTTTCCCGCCCCTTCTCCCCACCCCTACCTCAGCCACAGAATTCAGTACAGTCTAACCCAGGGGTGGAGAACCTGCCCTCTCCAGGCCACATGTGGCCTTGTAGGTCCTTGGGTTTGGCCATTGACCCACTCCAAATTTTACTGAACAAACCCTTTTATTAAGGAGATTTGTTCTGTGAAGTTTGGATTCAGTCAAAGGGCTGAACTTGAGGACCTAGAGGGCCACATGTGGCCTCGAGGTCGAAGATTCCCCACCCTTGGTCTAACCCATGACCCTTCTTTCAAAAAAGTCCCTCAAAAGAAAACTGGAGAGGAATCAGATTTGGAAGCTCCCTCCTCTCCCCGCCCCCCCCCCAGGTCCTACTGGGTACAGCTAATTCCTGAATTTTCAGAAATCAGCCTTTGTCCATCAACAACTCTTTCAAGTTCAAACTCAACTGCCATGATGAAAATCGGCAGGGATCTTTTCATCTCAGCCCTTCATTTCACAGATAAGGAAACTGAGGCCCATAGAAAGGAAATATGCCCAAGGTCACACAGTGACTGAGTGGCTTGCTTCTCCCTTTGTATACCTTAGTTTGAGAATCCACGGAACTCCACACAGCCAGGCTCCAATACTTTGTGCCTGGTTTGGGGGTGGGGGAGGCACATAGGAGGTCAGATGCCTTATATACACAGGCCAGCTGAAACAAGGAGAGACCTTTGAGAATTCAGCATATTGAAGATGAATGTTTTTCACAATTGTCTGAAAGACCTCATCATGCTTACTTAAAAGGAGGGTTGCTTGCATGGTTTAACCTAACCCAGAACCTGAGCATGGGAAGCTTCAGAGGCTATTTATTCTGAGCTCACATCAGGCCTCTCTGACAAGCAGACATAAAGACTACTTCAGTGACGGTGAGCTCTCTACCTCACCCGACAGCTGATTCCACTCATGGACAGCTCCAAGTGTTAGGAAGTTCTGAAATCTGCCTCTGGGTGACTTCCATCCTTTGCTTCTGGTTCACCCCTCTGAGGTCCAGCAGTACAAGTCTAATAAATGTCTTTCACATGACAGTACTTCTCATACTTGAAAGCAGGGTTCTCTAACATAGATTACCCAAGATCTCTTGGGGCCCCATCCTGGCCCACTCATACTCTGTATTCCTTCACCCTCTCAAGGGCTTTTACCCAACCCCCTGACCTCTCCTTCCATCCCTACCCAGTACCTAAATGTTCCACCATTGAAGCCAGGGGTGAGATTCAAGCTTGCAGTTTCCCAGAGGATGGTACAGTGAGGAAGAGCAAATATCATAAAACATAAATGAGTTTAGGCTTCGGTTCCTGCTATGGGGGGGGGATCTCGGCTATATTTCTCCATAATTCTGTAGGTCTTATTTGGCTCTTGGCTCTAGCTGGCCAAAAAGAAAGCAAAGGTTTGTAGATTTAAAGTTGGAAGTCACCCTGGAGGTCGAGTTCAGCCCTTTCATTCTACACAAAGAAACTGAGGCCAGAGATGTTACGTGACTTGTCCAGAGTCACACAGTTTTTAAGGCAGGATTTCAACTTGGGATTCATGATTCTTAAGTCAGGAGCCCTATCCATTATATATCAAACAGCTTGGGAGAATGGGAGAATCAGACAGAGACAGAGAAAAAGAGAGCTGGAGAGGGAGAGGGAGAAGAGGTACCGATAGATAGCAGAGGGGAGAGAGGGAGGGGGAAGGGAGAGGGAGAAAGAGACAGAGAGAAGAGAGGGAGAGAGAGAGAGAGACAGACAGACAGACAGACAGACACACACACACACACACACACACAGAATAGGGACTGAGAATCGGGAGATGTGTGGATTCATCAAATATATTCAAATCCCACTTCTTACACTTCCTAGCTGCCTAATCCTGAACAAGTCACTTCATGGGGCCTCAGTTTCCCTATCTGTTAAAAGAGGGGAGAAAAGATCCTTCAGGTCCCGTCCTCAGGGGTGGGGGGATTGTTTTTAAAGAAAGCACTTGGTAAACCTCAAAGCCTAGAGACCCAGGAGCTAGTCCAATGAATTCACTCCTTAGCTTTTTCAAGTTACCCAGACCTGATGCTGAAGTTTTGATTCAGCTACTGACTACGTGACCTTGAGTAAATCACTGCCCCCCCCACCTCCTGAGCTTCTCTGTCCTTGAAATGGGACAGCTGGACTAGAAGGTCTGGAAGGCTCCCTCCAACTCTAAACTATATGATCATACTATTTGGTGCAGTGAGTTACATTGTAGACACCCCTGGACAATGTCTGGGAATGTCTGCACCTACACTGATATGAACTTGGAAGGGGGAGGAGATGGTTGTCCACCCAGTGTTTCTGCAGCAACCTTCCCTACATCCCTCATACCTGGGGAGTCTTTGAAAAATAAAGAGGCCTCAGCTTCAAGGAGCATCTGAAGACCAAATCAGCCCTTCTGCCTTCCCTTCTCCTGGGCCTGGGGCATCCTTTCCAAGTGCTGCAATCGAGGACCTAATAATCCCTGATCAGTGATGAGCCTTGCAGCACCTCCAGCCCCAGATACAGGGACTAGCAGAAAGAAGCCCAGAATCCTAGGGCACTAGGGACCATCTGGTCCAGTCTCTTTATCATAGATCATAAATTTAGAGCTAGGTCATTGAGTCCAACCCCCTCATTCTGTGGATGAGGAAACTCAGGCAGACAGAAGTGACTTATTCAAGGTCACACAGATAATATCTGAAATGGGATTTAAACTCAGGTCTTCCTGACTCCAGGCCCATTGCTCTATCCACTACACCACACTGCCTCCCTTTACAGAGGAGAGTCCAGAGAAAGTAATAATTTCCTGAAGGTCACAGAGCTAAGATTAGGTAGATCAGAGGTTCAAACCCAGGTTTTTTTCAGTTGCTATGTTTGGATGCCTCCCTCACCACCAGGGGATCTTCTGAACAAAATCAGGTATTCATAAGAAAGCTTGAAACAGAGCCTGGGGTGAGCCCATCCAGGCTAGGGGCATACTCCTGGGGTGATCGGCTTGGGGACTGAGACACGTCCATGCACAGAAGGCAAAGTCTCTGATGAGGGTGCCTACAGGCAGCCATCCTGGCCAAGCTAAGCAACTGTCTCCTTGTCCATAACACAGCAAGTCAAGGGAAGGCTGGCGTTTCTCTTTCCTCCAGGCCATTTCTGAGGACCACAGCTGCTGCAGTGTGAGTGTTGGGGGGTGGAGGGGCAGCAGAGAAACCAGCAGTTCCTGGTCTGATTCATCCATCATCCAAGAGATTACCAACCAGGGTAACTTCCCATTCAGGGGCTATGCTCCTTGAGACAACGGAAAAGATTGCTCCAACTGGAAAGACCAAGAGTGTATACACACACACACACACACACACACACACACACACACACACACACACACACCCCACACACACCCCCACACACACTTTGACAGCTGGGGCATTAGGGAATTCAAAGGTGGCCTTAACCCAGTTCTTGCTGCTGGGGCTCATGCTTGGGGTGGCTACGGAGCCATGTAGGCCATCCGGCCCACAGTCCTGCACCTCATAGCAGGGGTTCAGGCGTCCCATGTCCAGTGGGCAGAAAAGGCTACGCTCGGCTCCTGAGTGGTGCTCCACCAAGGCCTCCAGGCTGGGGAACTCCATCTGCAGATGCTGAGGGAGGGTAAAGGAAAAAAACAGTCATCCTCAATCTCCAGGGCTCCAGCCTCCTCCTGCCACCCCCCACTGGTGGACAAGGGGCTCAGCCCCTCCAAGCCTGAGTCTGGGGCCCATGATAATTAAATGCATTGATTCTGAGAAGGAACACACCTCGTGCAGCATCTGGTCCCACTCTTCTCATTTTACAGAAAAGGAAACCTCCCCAGAGAAGCTAAGTACACGCCTTGAGGGTTATACAGCTTGGAGATGTGAGAGCCCGAACTGTGTCCCCATTTCCACCACACCGTAAAGTTAACTCAGTTCAAATCCCCCTCTGGGGAGGGGCTGGGGGGCTTTCCTGGTCCCTCTACCGCTAGTGCCTTCCCCACTGAGATTCTCTTCAATTTACATTGTCTATATCTCGTATGTACAGTTATCCCTCCACATTGCTGGGGTTAGGGGAGCGGTGCTCCTGCGATCTGGAAAAACCATATAAATTTTTTGGCTCTGCCTTCTTGCAAGAGAAGTATTCTGAATTCTTATGGCATTCAATGATAAAATATATTGATATCATACAATACAATGCATATATTTTATGCATTTCTGAGTTTCTAAACTTTTTCTGTGTCGTCTGCGGCTTCCATAAAACTCCCCCCAAATTCCCATTTAATTCCTAGTGCCAAGATAGGGAAAGTTGCTGTGTAGAATGAGTAACTGTGCATAGTTACTCCCATAACTGAAGGTCACAGCCTCTCTCAGCCAGTTTCTTCATGTGTTAAATGGGGATAAAACACCACCTACCCCACAGAGTCGTCGTGAACATCAAATGAGATGATATGTAAAGCTCTTTATAAATGTCAGTCATTAAAATAAAATAGTAAACTTTTTTAAATGTTAAAATTAAATGTTAGTTGTTCTTAGGTTGTCTCCCTCATTAGAAAGGAAAAGAAACAAGCATTTATTAAGTGCCTACTGTGTGCCATGCTCTGTGCTAAGTGCCTTATAAACGGGGGAAGAAGGGAATAAGCACGTATATCACTCCTACTATGTGTCAAGCACTTTACAAATATTTTCTCATTTGAGCCTGAGCCTCCCTGCCAACCTGGGAGACGGCTGCTCTTGACTGTCCTCACTTTACAGTGGAGGGTACTGAGGCAGGCAGAGGTGAAGTGACTTACCCTTAATCACACATCCAGGACGTGTCTGGGGCTGAATTTAAACTCAACTCTTCCTGACTCCTGGCCCAGGCTGTGTGCACCCAGCTACCCCCGGGCATCGAGGGCAGGGGCTGTATTTTTGCCTTTCGTTCATAACTTCAGAGCTTAGCCCAGTGTCATGAACAGGATGGGCATTTAATAAATGCTTGTTGACCAACTTTCCTCACAAGAGCCCGGCAATGCCAATTACTGTCAGTCCTGATGTAAGCGTTTATCATCGGGGTGCAAACGAGGGAAAGCCATGTCCAGGGCCACATTTCTCTCATGTTTTCAGGTTTCCAAAGGGCTTTCCTCTGCGTGCTTCTACCAATGTGTTAATCCACTTCCCAGAAGGCTCCATTCACTGTCACGATGACTGCCCAGGCCAAACAACCCTGTGTGGTCACCATCCCCTAACAGAGTGGAAGCCCCTTAAGGGCAGGGATCTGTTCACTTGTGGATTTGTACTGCTAGTGCTTAGCACAGTGGTTGAATCTCTCCCCCTCCCTTCCTGCTTCCCTCCCTCCTTCTCTCCCTCTCTCTGTCCCTACAGTCCTTCCTTTGCTCCTCCCTTCTCTCTTTTCCTTCTTCCTTCCTTTCTTTCTCTCTTCCTCCCTCCCTTCCTCCCCCTTTTTCTACTTTCTTTCTTCCCTTCTCTCTTTCCCCCTCCCCCCTTTCCTCCTTTCCTGTCTTCTTCCCTTCCTCATTTCCTACTTTCTTCCCTCTCATCCTTCCCTCCCTCCCTTCCTTTCTTCCTTCTTCCCTTCTTTCCTCCCTCCTTTTTTCTCTCTCTCCTTCCTTTCCTTCCTCCTTTCTACTTTCTTCCCTCCTATTCTTCCTTCCCTTCCCTCCTTCCTTCTTCCTCTTTTCCTCCTCCCCTTCTCTACCTTCCTCTCTTCCTTCTTTCCTCCCTCCTTTCCTTTCCTCTTTGCCTCCTCTTTCCTCCTTCCTTCCTCCCCTCTTTCACTTCTTCCTGTCTTCCTTCCTTTCTTCCTCCTCCTTTCTCTCCTCTCCCTTCCTTCTCTCTTTACTCCCTTTCTTCTTCCCTTCCTTCTTCCCTCCCTCCCCCTCCATTCTTCTTTCCTTCCTTCCTGAAACTACAGGAGTCTCCTAACACAGACACCCTCCAGCATATACGCCCTGAGTCTCACAACCCAAGATTTCCAGGGCCTTTGAAGTGTTCCAAGGAATGTGAACAGAGGAGAGGTTGGGGGTGGGGTGGGGCTGAGCAGGGGCAGACACCAAGCACTCACCTCCACACTGAACTTGCCCAAGTGGGTCCTGAAGACTTGATGGGGGACCACGCCACACTGTGTCTTCACTGACAGGCACCACTGGCCACTGGATCCAGGCTCAGGCCACAGCAAAAAGGCCCCCAGGACATCTCTTCGGAGCAGGGAGAGCGCACGGGTCCTGGGGTAGAAGGTGGGCTTGGTGAGTAGCAGGCCTCGGGTAGCACTTTTCTGTGACTCTTTGGACAGGGGCCAGCTCACCAGCTGCACTTCCCAGAAATGAGGAGGTTGCTCCCCGGTGTGGCCTGGCCTGTCCCCAAACCCCTGAACAGAGCCCTGGGGACAGAGAAGGACTTACCTAGAGAGGCCAGCAAAGGCCCAGATATTCTCCGTCAGGCTTCCCTCGCTTTCCACCAGGCAAACCAGGCCACTGGGCCTCTGGGCCCAGCTCTCCCAGGCGCTCGGAACTGTGATATTTGTGACACACATGTTAACAAGAGTCGACCTATATGCAGCACTTTAGAAAGCGTTTTACCCCACTCTCTCACTGGAACCTCAGGACAGCCCTGGGAACCCATTTTACAGATGAGGCATAAACAGGTGATAAGTAGTAGTCAATGTACAGACACAAGCCCTGGACTCTGTGCCCAACACTCTCCACTGTGCCACAGTCTAGATCTGGGGTCACAAACACCTTTCACTCAAGTCCTGCCATAGACACTTGCTTACTAGGTGCAGGACCCTCTCCGTCAACTGGAAAATGAAGGGCCTGGACTTGGTCTCTAAGAGCCTACCCAGCTCTGACATCCTGTGTTCTAAGGGCCCTCCCAGCTCTGACATTCTGAGTTCTAAGGGCCTTCCCAGCTCTGACAGGAATCCTGTGTTCTAAGGCCCCTCCCAGTTCTGACATTGTGTGTTCTAAGGGCCCTCCCAGTTCTGACATTGTGTGTTCTAAGGGCCCTCCCAGCTCTGACAGGAATCCTGTGTTCTAAGGCCCCTCCCAGTTCTGACATTGTATGTTCTAAGGCCCCTCCCAGTTCTGACATTGTGTGTTCTAAGGGCCCTCCCAGCTCTGACAGGAATCCTGTATTCTAAGGCCCCTCCCAGCTCTGACAGGAAATCCTGTGTTCTAAGGCCCCTCCCAGCTCTGACATCCTGTGCTCTAAGGGCCCTCCCAGCTCTGACAGGAATCCTGTGTTCTAAGGCCCCTCCCAGCTCTGACATCCTGTGTTCTAAGGGCCCTCCCAGCTCTGACATTCTGAGTTCTAAGGGCCTTCCCAGCTCTGACAGGAATCCTGTGTTCTAAGGCCCCTCCCAGTTCTGACAGGAATCCTGTATTCTAAGGCCCCTCCCAGCTCTGACAGGAATCCTGTGTTCTAAGGCCCCTCCCAGCTCTGACATCCTGTGTTCTAAGGGCCCTCCCAGCTCTGACATCCTGTGTTCTAAGGGCCCTCCAACCTCTGACATCTTGTGTTCTAAGGGCCCTCCCAGCTCTGACATTCTGAGTTCTAAGGGCCTTCCCAGCTCTGACAGGAATCCTGTGTTCTAAGGCCCCTCCCAGCTGTGACCATTTATGAAACTCCATGAGGGCATGGAGAGGCCATTAGATCTTGAGTTAGATGATTTGTGCTTAAACCCTTTCTCTGTCACTTGGGTAGTTGTCACTCTGGAGCACTTTATATTTTAGTCCCAATTTTCTCTTTTGTAAAATGGAGCTAAGAACCTTCAGACTACCCCGGTAAGGCATGGAATGGGTTGGATCTGATGGTCTCTGAGGTTTCTTCTAAGTCTGAGACCATGTGATTCTGGAACTCCACATTCATCGGAATGTAGCTGGAAAAGCAAAAGCGGAGGGCCTTCCTCATCCCCTCTGCCTGGCTCCCTTCCCCACAGCCAGTCCTCGGTCCTACCCCCTCCCCTATTTCCTGTGGTTTCCATAGGCTCCCCTCACCCACCCCGCAGCCTCCCCTGCCTCCCCAGACACCCACATCCCTCACTTGCACCCCCAAGAGCACACAGCACAAGTGCAGGTGTGCTCTCCAGCACACACACACACACACACACACTCACAGGCCTCCCGGGCAGACTGCTGCAGCTGCGTCTCATAGGTGCAGCAGCGATAGGCCCCTGACCGGATCACCTTGCTTCGAATTGCCTTTTTTCGCACAAGGGTTGGGGAACAGTAAGGGTTCCCCAGGCGGGAGTGACGGGTGGCCCCTCGACCTTCGGCCTCCGACATTTCCTTCTTTGGACAGGGACCAGAGTGAGACACACAGAGACATCCCAGACTGAACATCATAAACACCATTCCCGGGGAGCAGCCGTGGCCCCCGTTCTGATCACCCACAGAGCTGGCCGCCCTTCCTGCCTTGGGCACCATTCCTCTGGTGCAGCCCCTGTTGGGGGCCCGTGGCACTAACCAACGGGCCACAACTGGTTGTGGAATCCGAGGGCTTGGGTTCCAATCCCAGCTCCGACCTGTAGCTTACAATGTAATTGGGCAATATTTAACAACATAGATAGAGACAATGCAACACAGACAATGTTAATTTGTGGTTTTCTAAGTCAATGGTTAGCCTACAGGGTCCAGGTCCCTTCCAGCTCTGAGTCTATGGCCCTAGGAACCAGGAGCCACCTCCAGAAAAGGGTCAGAGCACATGTGACTCAGTGGAAGGGGTCGAGGCACAAGCCTGTCCCAAGATGTGCTCCATGGCTGGCCCTGTTAGAATGGGCTCAAATCCCCGTAGAGAAACAAGGGTCCTCAGAGGCAATCACATCTCAACCCAGTATTTTCAGGTAAGGAAACTGAGACACAGAGAGCTGGGGATTTGAGAGCTAGGATTTGAACTCAGGCCCTCTCACTGTGAATCCAGTATTCTTTCCTTCTTTCTTTTAATGTAAAAAGTATTTTATTTTTTCCAATTATATGTAAAGATTCCAGTATTCTTTCTTTTTTTAATGTAAAACATTTTATTTTTTCCAATTATTTGTAAAGAATCCAGTATTCTTTCTTTCTTTTAATGTAAAACATATTTTATTTTTTCCAATTACATGTAAAGAATCCAGTATTCTTTCTTTCTTTTAATGTAAAACATATTTCATTTCTTCCAATTACATGTAAAGAGTCCAATATTCTTTTTTTCTTTCTTTTAATGTGAAAAGTATTGTATTTTTTCCAATTACATGTAAAGAATCCAGTATTCTTTCTTTCTTTTTTCAATGTAAACAGTATTTTATTTTTTCCAATTACATGTAAAGAATCCAGTATTCTTTCTACTTCACCCTGAGGTTTAGAATTGGAAAGACCTCAGAAAGGACCAATTCCATCAACTTTCAGATAAGGAAACTGAGGTCCAGAAGAAATAGGAAGTGGCCCACTGTCACAGAGTAGCCAGTGACAGAGGTGACATTGTAGGTCCCCAACCTCAGATATGGTTTCTATCCACTTTAGTATACTCACTACCTCAAACTAAGGAAACTTTCTCTACTGCCATGTGCCAATTCTGTCCCTTCCCCTCTAACCCCACCCCCAAGCTACACTTTAAATCCCCCTTTCCTCAAATTTCAGGCAAAGAAAGAAGTCAGAGAAGGCTCATTCCCCTGGTCTGAGTTCAACCTGGAATCTTTGCCTTATTTCCCATCTTAATTAGTCAAACGATCAGCAAGCACTTATTGGGTCCTACTATGTGCTAGTCAAGGCCCCCTTTTATGTTCCACCTCCCCCTCCAGCCCCAGGCCAGGCTCCCCCAGAAGAAGCCCTGGAGGCAGCCACCCTTCTTGAAACTGCTTAGAAAAAAGTGGGATGTCTTTCACAACACGACTCATATGGAAGTATCTTTTACATGACTGCACATATATAACCTATATTAAATTGTTTACTGCCTTAGGGAGGAGGGAAAGAAGGGAGGGAGAAAATTTGGAATTCAAACTGTTATTAAAAAATGAATGTTAAAATTGTATTTACGTGCAACTGGAAAAAATAAAATACTATTTAAAAGGGAAAAAACTGGGATGGGCCAGAGATTTTAACTCTCCTGTTTTACAGGGGAAAGGAAACAGGTCCAGATATGTGAAATGATTTGCACTCAGGGTCACCCAGGTAGTAAAAGAAACAAAAGGGGGATTTGAACCCAGGCCCTCTGACTCTAGAACCAAAGCTCTTTCCATGATACTTTGCTGCCTCTTAAAAGCAACCGGAGCACCTGTCAAGCTTCCCAAAAATCTGCTGCATCCCCTAAGATAGGGAGCCCCAAGGCAGAGCCTGGAGCTGGGCAAGCAGCCCCTGTGAGAGCTGCCAGGAGGGAAGGCCCTCTACAGATCTGGACCTGGAGATAGGCGGCCTGGCGAGGCTTTCCTTAGTTCCCTCCCACCTCTGAGCCATCTGCCCATCTCTCCTGTTCCCCCCAGTTCACTCTAAAGGTAAGCAACTCACTGTGCTGCCTGCCGGGCCATCAGCTGGGGCCGGCAGCCGCCGGAAGGACACCAGGGCATGGACATTTTGAGAGACCTGATCCCGGCCGAAGGGCTCCCTCACCATCCCCGCAGGGCAGCCAGGGCTGGGCAGAGATTTGGGGGCCTCCTCTGCGGGTGGCCCTGGCCCAGGCTGGGCCTGATCCTCGGGGTGTTGCAAGAGGTATGACAGCTGAAAGGAACGGCAAAGCAGCAGATGTAGGATCTGGACCTGCAGAGGCAAAGCAGAGATGGGGGTGGAGGGGGAGGGTGGGGATGCAGTGGATTAGAAGTAAATCAATGTCTACCCCCGCCCCCAAGGCAGCTACGGACCATAAGGAGAAGGGGTGATCTAGAGAAGCTTCCTTTGGAACGCATCACCCTTAGGATCTTCAACCCACAGGGACCATCTCTAACACTGACTCCACTCCGGCCAAACCCCCTCACTTCATGTATAATCCAGCTGATGTTCACACATTCCAGCTGGGAGGGTGCTCACATCATGAACTGTCAGAGCTGGAAGGAATGTTAGAGAATAGAATGTTGGAAATGGGGGACCCTAAAATATAGTGTCAAACCTCAGAAGGCCCTTAGAACCCAGAATGTCAGAGCTGGGAGGGGCCTTAGAACACAGATGTCAGAGCTGGGAGGGCCCTTAGAACCCAGATGTCAGAGCTGGGAGGGCCCTCAGAACACAGGCTGTCAGAGCTGGGAGGGCCCTCAGAACCCAGGAGGGCCCTTAGAACCCAGATGTCAGAGCTGGGAGGGAGCTTGGAACGCCCCTCCATGCCTGTGTACTCTTCCCCTCCTCCTAGGATGCTTTCTGTCCTCACCTCTGCCTCTTATCATCCCTTGGGATAATAAGGAGGGAAGCCTTTCTTGCTGCTAACTCTCATCCCCTCCTCCTCCCATTGTCAAGTCCACACTTGTCTATTTACATGTTGCATCCTCCCCCTTCCTCCCCTCACAGAGTAGAATCTCCTTGAAGGCAGAGATGCTTTCTATTTTACCTTTGTACGCCCACCGCCTCTACATAGGCAGGAGACCTGAGTTTGAATCCTGGCTCTATATTTAATAGCTGTGTGATCCTGGTCACATAACAATTCAGCCTCTTCAATGTGGACAAAAAGACCACAAGTACTTCGTTAGCCTCAGCCTGCTCTAGATAAGCCAAGATTCCCAGTAGCTTGGTGGGTTCAGCACACTCAAGCAAAGGGAGAGTTGGCCTTTATCCCTGTGTTTCGACACTTAACAGGAAGTCTCAGACTTGGGTCTTGGGCTTTCCAAGGGCAGCTGCTGGGTACAATGGGGAGGACCCCACCACTATCACCCCGGCGTTCACGTTGGAGAGTGGGCACCATGATTGAAGCCCAACACTGAGCCTTGGCAAGCCTCTGCGAAGCTTCTCCCCATTCCGACGATGCCTCCCTAGACTGACAGCCAACGGGGGGGTGTCTCAGACATGGCCCCCTCCCGTTCCCTGGGGCCCCCAGTACCTCCCCAGGCTGGCTGCCCACAAACAAGTGACAGAAGAGTTTGCTGGCAGGGCTCCGTGGGTTCCGGGAGATGAAGGCAAACTGGCATTCAGCTGGGCACCAGGTGGAGTAGAGGATCCTCTTCAGAGCATGAGCCATTAGAAGAGTCTGGGAGAGGGGGTGGGACACAGGTGGGAGGTGTCTCTTGGGGAGCTGACACATGCTATCCTCACTCGGCAGCCACTGGTTCTAAGCTGTCATTTCCCTGGGGGACCCTCTGCCAGCCAAGCTGATCTGAGCAAGCTTGAGGGTGGCGCACAGTTCAGCCACTCCCTCTCGGGTGCTCAAACTAATACGAGGAGCCACGTGACCTCGGACAAGTCATTAACCTTTCTCCACCTCCAGTTTCTACATCCATAAAATGGGAGTGTTAATACTTTCACTACTTGTACTGGAACTCTTAGCCCGCCCCTGCCAAATATCCAGTTCCATCAGTTCCTGGGCCTTGTGCCTCTCAGCCTTACCCTTCTCCTCTGCCACCATCAGTGCCCAGTCCTGGGGGCTCCGAGCCTTTACCAGGGTCCTTCATAACTAGACCGTGCACAGTGAGGAAGCTCATTTATTCCCCCCGCCCCATTCCCCTGTAGATGTGCAGTGCCCACTTGGCCTGTTGAAGGTCCCTTATCTACTGCCCAATATTCCTGGGGAATCAAAGGGTATATTGGTTAGGGCTGGCTTGGGGAGAAGTGGGGCACAGCCACGCTAGGCAGGCCACATGTGGAGTCTGCTCAGTCTGCTGTTCCAGCAGCCTCAGGGGATCACTAGCCCGGGCCTGATCTGGGGACCTCCAGCCAAGACTAGGAGGCCTGGCAGCCCCTGTGCTCAGGGCCGAAGGAGGAGCTTGCTGTATGACTTCCAGAATCACCAAGACAGAAAGGACCAAGTAATACACCTTTAAAAAAGAGGAGTAGGTAAAAAAAAATTGTTTTTTAAGGGGAGGGAGATAAGGAGTGAGCAGCAAGAATGAAAATGGATCCATTAGAGCAACAGAAAATGGGAGAGGACCTTCGGCCCTGTGGAAAAGGAGTTGGGGGTGAGAAGAGAGGGGTGAGAAAAAAACCACAGAGGGGTAGGGCGTGGGGGAAGAGATATGAGGTGGAAAGAGATGGGGAGAGCCAGAGTGATAGGCAGGGAGGGTGAGGCCAGACAGTTGGACCTGAGCTCATGAGTCACTGAGGGGGGAGAAGGGATGACTGGGAAGCAGTGGCTGCCCCCAGTGAGCCGAGCACCTACCTCCCCCTCGGCACTGTAGATCCGGAGGCCCTGTAGACTGAATTTTAGGATCACAGCTCTTCGCCTGGGGCAGTCCTGGCAAGAGGAGAGAGAAGGGGGTGGCTTAGAACCAGGCTCGCCCTGAGGAACGGATACTCGCTCCTATTCTCATACTGGCCGGGCCCTGCTGGGCTCAGGCCTGTTAGCTGAGAGACCCAAGCTAATGGGCCAGGGTTAGAACTCCAGGCCTTGATCTGGGGGGAGAGGGGAGTGCTCTAGGTTCCCTGGCTCACTCTGCAGACGAGGGTGAGTGTGCAAGCCATCCTCACTGCTGGAGACTCGGTTCAAAGGATGCAGCATGGACCTCACAAACATGAAGGACCAGCAATAGGGTGAGGATGGTTGTGTGGTGACGTGGACAGAGCCCTGGACTGGGGTTCAGGAGACCTGGGTTCAGGTCCTGGCCCTGAGGCTGCTGGGGATTCACTGTGGGGCTGTCACTTCCCCTCATCTGAAAAAACAAAGGGATTGGACTAGAGAAACTTTTTTTTTTTTTGCGAAGCAATTGGGGTTAAGTGACTTGCCCAGGGTCACATAGCTAGGAAGTGTCAAGTGTTTGAGGTCGGATTTGAACTCAGGTCCTCCTAACTCTAGGGCTGGTGCTCTATCCACTTTGCCACCTAGCCATATCTTAGATGAACTTCTAACGTCCTTTCTTGTTCTGACATTTTCTGTTCTGAGGCCCCTCCCAGTTCTGACATTCTGTGTCCTAAGGGCCCTCCCAGCTCTGACATTCTGTCTTATAAGAGCCCTCCCAGCTCTGACATTCTCTGTTCTAAGGCCCCTCCCAGCTCTGACATTCTGTGTTCTAAGGGCCCTCCCAGCTCTGACATTATGTGTTCTAGGAGTGGGTGATAGTGAAGAAAGGCCATGGGGTTGTGGGATTTTTTCCCTCCTTGGGCTCCCCTCTCCCTCACATGCCTTTATTCTCCAGTTCCCCACTCCTAGTCAGAGACAGCTGGTTGATACAGTGAATAGAGTCCTGGCATCAGGAAGATCTGAGTTCAAATCCGGCCTTAGGTTCTAGCTGTGTGACTCTGGGCAAGTCATTTAACCTCTGCCTCAGTTTCCTCAACTGTAAAACGGGGATAACAACAGCACCTACCTCAGCAAGGTTGCTGTAAAGATCAGGAAGATAATATTTGTAAAAAGAGCTCAGCACAATGCCTAGCACATAGTTGGTGCTATCGAAACACTAATTCCCTCCCTCCCCAGGCATTTTTTTACCTACCTTCAAGGCCCATAGCTGCTGCTGGACCATCCACACTTTCTCCTGAAGCCCCAGGTCATCTACAGTAAAGGAGCCCACATACTGTGATGGAGGCAGAGAAGAGCACATCAGAGAAAAGGTCCGCCCTCCCCTGCCATCCTCCAACCTCCCGCTCCTCCGCCCCCTCACAAAGCCCTTGGACACCCAGTAGGGCCGGGAAGACACATGAGCCATGCTTTCAGCCTCAGTCCTACAGAGAGCCCCTCCTTAGAGATTCTCCTCCTACACCCACAGAAGTGCTGCTGGTTCTGGCCACTCGAGAGTCAAGGAGTAGGAGTTGAGAACTGGGAGTTGACTTGGAGGTCATCTGGTCCAACCGTCTAATTTCACAGATAAGGAAAGTGAGGCCCAGGCTGGGGAAAGGACTCACCCAAGGCCTCATAGAAAGTAAGCAGCAGGGGTGGTACTCAGGTGGCCCTAAACTTCCTTGGGGAAGGGGAAGAGGTCTGTGTGTATGTACTGGGTGGAGGGCAGGGCAGAGAAGCATGGCTCTGATTTTCCACGGGACTTCTCTTCGTCTTCTTCCCCAAACCCAGAATCACTGCAGTAACCAACAACCTTCACTCTCCTGCCGTTTTGTCAAAGCCACAGAGCTCTCAGTGTCAACCTTGGACTCTCCCTGGCACTACCTGCGGCAGCAGCTTAACCCCCCCCGGCCAGGCCCCAGCCTGCAGTGAGGGGTGGTCCTGGAGGCAGGTTCCCTGCAATGATGTCCCAGGGCTGGCCCCTGCTTCACCAGGTCATTCCCTTGGGCAACCATGGACAGGAAGTTTTCACTTAATAGCTTCAGGGAGTGACATTTGGGAGGGGGCAGCAGTGTGAACAGAGAGAGGTCAGGGAGGATTCTTGGGGAATGCCATCATCCCCAGTCATCAGGCAGCAAATAAACCCCTCCCCCCAACCTCCGTGTCTATAAAATGCAATAATTCCGTGCGCGCGCGTGTGGTTGACTGTGCAATAATTCCTAACTAGAGTAGGCCAAGAAACTCTTTGAGGGATGCCTCCCCACCCACCCCCTCCCGAAGCCCTCAGGAGATTAGGCTAAGGACCCCGTTTACCAGGCCAGGATGGCTATGGCATGTCTGCTCACTAGGTGCCCCTCCCTCTCCCTCATCCTTTGGGAGATTCCATTTTGGTTCTACCTACCTGGGCAAACTTGGTAATGCCTCTTGACCTGTGTGGAGTGAGGGCTGTGTCCGAGGCCCTCCCGGCCGGCCGCCCCCACCTTTTGCATGGCCCCCAGGAACACCTAGCTCTGGAGGCTCCAGAGGGGAGGAAGCTGCAAAGGCCAAGGTGTACATGGGTTAATTTTTTTAGACTTTACCTGCCCCAGAAGAAACACAACTGCTCACAGCTCCCATTTCTATAGGGTATAGGTGAAGTGGGGCCACCACAGATCTGTCAGGCATGCAGTGCCAGGACTACTACTACCCCCATTTTACAGATGAGCAAACTGAGACTCAAGAAGGGTTAAAAGATTTTCTCACACAGCCAATAAGCAGATCAGGAACTCAAATTCAATTTGACAAACATTTATTTAGTGTCTACTGTATACAATATTCTGTGCTAGGTTCCAGAATTATAATAAGATGTAGTCTCTGCCCTCTGGAGGTTTGTATTCTAATAAGGAGGTAAAACATGTACCGGAATTTCAATAGGTCATCACTCTGGAATTGGAGGAGACCAACTCCCTTATTTTACAGAGAAGGAAACTGAGGCTCAGGAAGTTTAAGTAATTTGCCCCCAAGGACAGACAGACAGTAAATATCAGAGGCAGAATTGGACCCAGGTCTTCTACTACAAGACAGAATGTGAGAACAGAACGAGAGAGATCCAGGGAAAAAATGCAGGGAGAAATGTGAAGACAGAGAGATTACATTCATCTAGTGGGGGTGAGGGGGACTGCTTATCAGGGAAGACTCCCTGAAGGACGTGGCACCTGAGTTAGATCTTGAAAGGAATACTGACAATTGAAGAAAGGGAAGAGTCCATTCAGGTATGGGTGTGAGCAGAAACCTGGTGAGATCTGGACAAGAGCAAAGGATAAAAGAGGCCAGGATTGTTAGAAGGCAGAGCCTGGGAATAATGGTAACTAGCATCTACATAGCACTTTACTATATGCAAAGCATATACATGGTTTCATTTGAGCTTCACAATCACCTGGAAAAGGAATAAGAGACATTATGATACCCATTTTACAGATGGGGAAACTGAGGCACAGAACTAGTAGTGATTCACCCATGGTTACATAGGTAACATTATTGTCGTTCAGTCGTTTTCAGCCATGTCTGACTCCTTAAAATGCCGTTTGGGGTTGTCTTGGCAAAGATACTGGAGTCTTTTGCCATTTCCTTCTCTAGCCCATTTTGCACATGAGAAAACTGAGGCAAGCAAGATTAAATGACTTCCCCAGGATCGCACCGCTAGTATGTACATGAGGCTGGATTTGAACTCACAAAGATGAGTGCTCCTGACTCCAGGCCTGAAACTCTGCACACTGTATCACCCAGCTGCCCCTAGCTAATATTAGGGGTAGGATTTAAGTTAGGTCTTCCCCGGCCTGCTTCGAGCCTTCTCTTTGCTGATTTTATCCAATTTATCCTATACACATCTTTGTGCTCAGCTGTACAAAGTATCTTATATGTTTACATTGTCTCCCTCATTAAACTGTCAGCTCCCTGAGAACAAGGATTGGTTTTTTGCCTTTCTTTGTTTTCCCCATACTTAGCACAGTGACTGGTATATAGTAGATGTTTAATAAACACTTACTGACTTGACCTGATTTGGTGCTAGGTTGTGGAGGGCCTTAAGGACCCTAGTTTTATTAGCAGGCCATGGGGATCCCCTGAAGTTTTCTGAGTCAAGGAGAAGTGTGAATGGTGAATTCAGAACATTATTTATGAAGGCAAAGGTAGCAGGGATAGACTAAAAGTCAGAAAGACAGCTAGACCTTTGTGCTCCAACTCTAGTGGTGTTTCTACCATGCCATCAGAATCTTCCTGCCCCAAACTGGGCCCTCCTCCAGCCAGGGACTTTTCTGATAAGGAGGGGATGAGGTCAGCCAGGCCCAACTTGGCCATCAGGGCCTTGGAGAATTCCATGATCTAGAGCTGGGCAAGGTTTTCAAACTCAGGGGCTCCCTTATTCTGCCCAACACAACCCACACTCATTTGACTGGGGAAGGGGAAGAAACGATCCCTCCCAGAGGGTCCTTTGACTTTCTTCCTAGGGATCAAGCCCAACACCCACCCCTGCTTGGCCTTAAGTTTGAGGTTTGGGGAGCAGGGGGTGCAAAGGGATTGGAGAACCCCAAGCCCTATTGATCAGGGGAAGAAGATGCAGACCACCAGTTGGAGTTAGCCAGGTTCCCAACTCCCGTCTCTGGGTGCAGACTCCTGGGTGCAGTATGCATCCCATCCAGGAGAGGAACCCTGCACATGAACCCAGTCAGTCCCCAGGCTCACTGCCTCCTTTCATTTTCACCTTCTCACTGTCACCTCTCCCAAATCTCCAATCAGCTGCCAAATCTCATTTCTCCTTTCACAGCATCTCTCTCAGACATTCCTTCCTCTCTGCTCACATGGCAGCACCCTAGTTCAAGCTCATCTCAGTGCTTTTACAAGGCTATGCCCCATCCATGCCTGAAATTCCCTCCCTCTTCACCTTTCTCTTATAATCTCCTGATTCCTTCATGACTCAGCTCACATGCCATCTCCAGTGGCCCTTCCCGGTCCCCCGAGCTGGTAAAGTCCTCCCCATTAAGGTTACTTCCCCTCTACTCTCATTTAAGATCTCTATGCCTCAGTTTCTTCATCTGTAAAATGAAGGCGGGTGGATTCAGTTCTATGATCCTATGATCTCATTTTCATGTTGTCTCCTCAGTGAAAACGTAGGTTTCAGAGAAACCCTGGTTAGACTTGTATGAACTGATGAAGAGTGAAGGGGGCAGACCCTCAGGAGAACAATTTATACAATAACAGCAACATTGTTTCAAAAAAAAAAAGCTTTGAAAGACTTAAGAGCTCTGATCAATGTAACAGCCAACCACAGCTCTGAACTGACCATGATAAAGGATTCTCTCACCACCTAACTGAGAGGCCAGCAAGACTAACTTTTTTGGACATGGTCAGTGCAGGAATTTGTTTTGATTGACTCAGCATATTTGTCACAAAGGTTTGGGATTTTTTTTTCCTTAATAAAGGGAAAGAAAATGATTGTTAATTAGAAAAAATAAAATTTTAAAAATTAATTTATTAATATTTAGTTTCAACATTCACTTCCATAAGATTTTGAATTCTAAATTTTCTCCCCCTCCCTCCATTCCCCCCTCCCCAAGATGGCAGGCAATCTGACATAGGCTCTCTACATATACATTCATATTTAACATATTTGCACATTAGTCACGTTGTAAAGAAGAATTAGAACCAATGGGAGAAACCACGAGAAAAAAAAAACAAAAAAAAAAGAGAGAGAGAGAGAAAGCAAATAGTATGCTCAGCTCTGCATTCAGGCTGCATAGTTCTTTCTCTAGATGTGGATAGCATTTTCCATCGTGAGCCTTTTGGAGTTGTCTTAGATCCTTGCATTGCTGAGCAGAGCTAAGTCTATCAAAGTTGGTCATTGCACAACGTGGCTGTTACTGTGTACAACGTTCTCCTGGTTCTGCTCCCTTCACTCAGCATCAGTTCATTTAAGTCTTTCCAGGTTTTTCTGAAGTCCACCTGCTCATCATTTCTTACAGCACAACAGTATTCCATTACATTCATATACCACAACTTGTTCAGCCATTCCCCAATTAATGTGCATTCTCTTGATTTCCAATTATTTGCCACCACAAAAAGAGATGCTATAAATATGTTTGTATAACTAGGTCCTTTCCCCTCTTCTCCTTTTTTTTTTCTCTTTGGGTACAGACCTAGAAGTGGTATTGCTGGGTCAAAGGATATGTATAGCGGGAAAAAAAATTTTTTTAAAAGAATGTAAGCTCTTTGTGGACAGGGAGTAAGATTTTTTTGCTTTCTTTGTATTCTCAGCACTTAACACTATTCCTGGCACACAATAAGGGCTTAATAAATGTTTGATATCAATTGCTTGGTTGCCAGGGATGTAGTTTATGTTTTAAGTAGAGATAGGGCTAACTGGCTTCTGAACTTCTGTGTGCTCTGAGATTCTTTTTAAGGAGGGGAGAGCCTACTGGAAAGTGCTACACTACCTACCCAGCCCATCCCTGGGGGTGGAAGTGGGTGCGGCAGTGACACACCCTCTTCCTGTCCTGCCTGTGTCATCAGGTAAGGGCCCAGACTGGGATGAGCTGGCTTGGTCCTGGGGCAGAAGAGGGGATAAACCAGCCCAGCACAGCCCCTGAAGGAAGCTCCAGAATTCCAGGGCTTTGGAAAGAGAACATTCTGTTTATTCACAAGAAGGAGGAATGTTGGGGCTGACTGCACATTTCACCCCATGTCCAAAGGTCCATAGTTATCAGCCTGGGGAAAATAACCAGCTCCCCATCCCAGCCTCCACTGGGATTACTGCCCACAGCCCAGAGAAGGGCCAGAGACTGACCCACTGAGCAGCGAGTACTGAGGAGCAGTGAGGCAAAGGGGACTGCAAATGAGAAATGCGGGAGAACCCCTCCCCAAATACACTGTCATAAAAACAAAGTGTTAGAACTGAAAGATGAGCTTGGAGATTATTGAACTCAACCCCTTCAGCTTATTTGCACATGCTTTGCTGCTGTCTTTGTTTTCTATCACAGTCATTAGCCACCCATCTGTCCGGAATAAGAATCCTTCCTTGTCACAATGGGAAAATGATGAAGAAAATACATCCAGTATAGAAACCTCATCTGATAATGCCTACAATAATTTGTCCTATAGTTTCCCCCACCTCGCTGGGGTGAGGGAGGAAGTCTGTTTTATTATCTCTTTTCCAGGATAGAATCTTCTCTATGCAGATGATTCCCAGACCTGTGTTTCCAGCCCTAACCTCTCTATTGAGCTCCAATCTCACATCTCCATGCACCCTACAATTGGACAATCTCAAACTGGATGTCTTGGAGGCATCTCACCCAACATGTCTGAAAAGGAATTCTATTTCTCCTCAAACCGTCTTCACTTCCAAATTTCCCTATCACTGTGGTAGGTATCAACTTCCTCCTAGTCACCCAGGCTCCCAACCTTTCTGTCACCCTCAACTCTTCACTCTTACTCACCCCATGGAGCCAATCAATGCCTAATCTTTTTTCTAAGGCTAGACATGTACAATCATATTAAACATATTTCCACATTAGTCATGTAGTGAAAGAAGAATCTGAACGAAAGGGGAAAACCATGAGAAAGAAAAAAAAGAGAGAAAATAGTAAGATTCAGTCTGCATTCAGACTCCTTAGTTCTTTCTCTGAATAGCATTTTCCAGCATGAGTCATTTGGAATTGTCTTAGATCACTGTATTGTTGAGAAGAGCTAAGTGTATCAAAGTTGGTCATCCGCACAATGTTGCTGTTACTGTGTACAATGTTCTCCTGGTTCTACTCACTTCACTCAGCATCTGTTCAAGTAAGTCTTTCCAAGTTTTTCTGAAGTCCACTTGCTTGTCATTTCTTACAGAACAATAGTATTCCATTACATTAATATACCACAACTTGTTCAGACATTCCCCAATTGATGTAATGCCCAATCTTGTCAATTTCTTTCTTCCACGTCTCTCATATACATCCTTTCCTCTTCACTCACAGGGACACCAACTCATTCAAATCCTCATAGCCTTTTTTTTTGTTTTGGTGAGGCAATTGGGGTTAAGTGACTTGCCCAGAGTCACACAGCTACTGAGTATTATGTGTCTGAGGCAGGATTTGAACTCCGGTCCTCCTCCTGACTCTAGGGCTAGTGCTCTATCCACTGTATGACCTAGCTGCACTGCCCCCCCCTTATAGCCTTGCACTTAGACCATCACAACAGCCTCCTAATGGCCATCTCCTCACTCCCGCCATTCTCCATATAGCTGCCAAACTGATTTTCCTGAAGCACCTGTCTGACCATGACATCTCCCCCTTTCATAAACTCCAGAGGTTCCCCTTTACCTTCAGCATCAAATATTAAATCCTGCTGGAGCTCTTCCTATCTTGGCCCCTGCCACTTCCAGTTTTCTTCCTCCCCTCCATGCACCCTACAATCCAAGCACCCCTTCTACAAGAACCCCCCCCAGTTATTAGTGCCCTTACTCCCCAAACTACCTTATATTTATTTTCTCTATATTCTACATATATGTGTGTGTGTGTGTGTGTGTTGTGTGTGTGTGTGTGGTCTCCTAAGTTAGACTGTAAGCTTCCTGAGGGCAAGGACTGTTTAATTTTTTGTCTCTGTATCCCTGGTGCCTGGCTCATAGTAAGTGCTTAAAGAATGCTTCTAGGGTGATTGAGTTTGAAGAGAAAGAAGCCTCAGCAAAAGGAAATGATTAAGAGCTGGAAAGGACCTTAAAGATAATCTAGTCAAACCCCTTATTGGGCAGATGAGGAAACAGAAGCTCAGGAAGGTTATGATTGTCTAAGATCACAGAGGCAATAATCATCACAGGCAGGATTTTTACTCAAGTCCTGTAATTCTGGTCACATTTCCATTAAGTTTACATGGAAAAAAAAACAGGGAAATAATTGACTTGACCTTTTTCTGTAGAAGGCAACTCCGGAGGGCAAGGGCAGTTTCAATTTTGTCTTTGTATCTCCAGTGTACAACACATGTGCCTGGCACACAGTAAGAGTTTAATAAGTGCGTAAGATTTATTGCCCCAAATCACAAAGATATAATAAGGGGATGAGGTAACTTTTTGGTAACAAATATCCATATACAAGCAAAACAAATCTGTATTTTCTATGTTCAAAAAAATCTGTACATCTCAATCTGCATCCTGGGTACATCCCTTCTCTGCCAGGAGGTGGGAAGCATGAATCCTCCGGAATCATGGTAGGTCATTGAGCTCCCTGGTTTGACCTGGTTTGTCTTTACAATGCTGTTATTATTGTATAAATTTTTCTCTTGGTTCCATTCACTTCACTCTGCATCAGTTCATACAAATTTTCCCAAGTCTCTCAGAAACTGTCCCTTTCATCATTACACGCCATAATTTGTTCAGCTGTTCACCAATTGATAGGTATCCCTTTAGCTTCCAGTTATTTGCCACACAAAAAGATCTACCAGGGATATTTTTGTATATACAGATCCTTTTCCTCTTTCTTTTACCTCTTTGGATATAGGCCTTGAGTATTAGGTATTGCTGTGCCAAAGGATATGTAGAATTTAATGGTTTGGGGCAGTAGAGTTGCTTTTTAGAATGGCTAGACCAATTCGCATCAATGTGCTTGCTTTCCCATAGTCCCTTCAGCATATCATTTCCCTTTTCTGTCAACTTTTCTAATCTGACGGGCTCTATGAGGAACCACAGAATTGCTTTAATTTGCATTTCTCCAATTGTTAGTGATTTGGAGCATTTTTTCACGTGGTAATTGAGAGCGTGGATCTCTTCTTCTGAAAACTATCTATCATCACCCTTGACCATCTATCAATTGGAGAATGGTTCTTAGTCTTGTAAAGATTTTCCCCTCAGTTAACTTTCTAATTTTAGCTGCATTGGTTTTATTTGTGCAAAAAATTTTCATTTTATATAATAAAGTAATCTATTTTACCTTTTGGGAACCTTCCCCTACCCATAGATCTGAAAGGTTTGTCATCCTTGCTTCTCTCATTTGTTTATAATGTCGTTCTTTATATCTAAGTTATGTAGCCACTAAGAGCTTACTTGATACAGGGGGTAGAGGGCCAAGGTTCAAACCCAAGTCCTTCAGCACATTTCCCTTTCAAGGTCACACATGGCTACATCATGTGACTCCAGATCCATGGCTCTTTCTCAGTGCCAAACAATGCTGCGTCTCAAACAAAATAACACAAATAAAAACTATTGAGACCCAGACAGATTTGGCACAACCAGGATTTGGTTCCTGGTCTCTTGACTTCCAAGGGCTGCTAGGAGACACCATAATACACAGAGCACCAGATCTGGAATCACAAAGATTCATCTCCCTGAGTTCAAATCCAGCCTCAGACACTTATAATCTTTGTGACCCTGGGCAAGTCACATAACTGGCTGTGTGACCCTAGGCAAGTCACTTAACTCTGTTTGCCTCAGTTTCCTAATCTGTAAAATGAGCTGGAGAAGGAAATGGCAAACCACTCCAGTATCTCTTCCAAGAAAACTCCAGATGGGGTCATGAAGAGTTGGACACGACTGAAAAGCAACAACTCTTGACTTCTGATACGGTGTGCTTTGCACTACAACGATTTGGCTGGCCTCCCTCCCATCCATCCCCACCCCTGACTGAATTTAAAAGGAAATGATTTCTTCCCCAAATTTCCCCCCCATTTCTATAAACATCCCAAACTCTGACTTCATATGCCCAAGGGACACAATGAGCTATGTGCTCCTCAGCTCACTCAGGGTCCCTCCCCATCCCTGCTTCTTCCTCACCCCAGCTATGATTTCACACATCAGAGCAGGGAATATTTCTTTGGGAAGCTTAAGGAAGTCACTCTTACTGCTTTTGTTTTGTTTTGTTTTAGAGCCTCAGTGGCCCTATCATGACCAGACTAGAAGTGCAGAGGCCAGATCCCATTAATAACCTATTCTATTTCAGACTTGGGAAAGTCAGACCTTTCTCAGCCATTCTGATAGTACCCTGCCTCCCCACTCCCATCAAGGGTTTCCCATATTAATTTTGAATATAGGGCAGACTCCTGATTGCCCTAATCCATTGGAACTCAGAACTCCTGAAATTAAGCAATCCACTAGCCTCAGGCCCCAGAACTAGGAATTACAGATGGCCTCACCACACCAAGCAGATCTCATTGCTTTATAATCTCAATGTCGAATTCCATCTTCACAAAGATTTCCTTGTTTTCCACGGAGCATCCCTCCCCCCTACACCCCCTCCAAGAAACCAATTCCACACAGCTTTGGAATTTTTGGAAATTCCTACCTCTACCCAGGAAAAAAGGATGTATGTGCTTCCAGCCTTCTGCAGGGAGGAGTTTGTGATGAATAAACCCACTCCCTCACACCCCAAGGAAGTCTCCAAGATGTTAGGCTGCAATCATAAGGAATGGTTTCAAATCCTAGCTCAGACATTTCACCTTAAGCTTTCCATAATATGGGGATAACAATGCATATACATCTGTCTCACCAGGCTGTTCTATGGACAGTGATTTATAAACCTTAAAGTAGTCAATAACTATGAGTCATTATCATATTACCTCCTGCTTTCCTCAAATCAGAACAGGAGAAGTAGAAAGATGGAAACTGGCATCCTCCACTCTCACCAGAAGGCCAGGTCAGGAAACCTATTTCTTCGGGGCCTGAGGAAAAGAAGGAGGCTGCTGAGGAATGAAAAAGATATCAGCTCTATTCCCAAAGCCCCAGGAGGGTGGGTACAGGTAAAACATAACATAAGGGGGGATGTAAAGTACTAAGGGCCCTCCCAGTTCTGACATTCTAGGTTCTAATGGCCCTCTCAGTTCTAACTTCCTGTAGGCCAACATCCCAGAATCATAGATTTAGAGTTGGGGGAGCCTTTATTGATAAACTAGAGATTTCTTATTTTATCCATGGGGAAATTGAGGCTCAGAGAGATGAAGTGATTTGTCCAAGGGCACACACGTCCCTTTCAGTTTTAATATTTTATGGCTCAGAGATATGCCTGGACTCAGGGAGATGGCAGCGGTGGAGCCAGAACCCAGCTGCAGATTAAGCAAAGAATTTAGAAACCTTAAATGACAAACTAGAAGCTTTGACCTGTCAAGAGGTATCAAGCAGCAGTCTACCAATATACATCTATTAAATGAGATTCTGTTTCAAGCACTCGGTTCTAGGGAAATGAATACCAAAGTGAGACAGTCCCTGTCCTCAAGAACAACAGTCTGCTCCTAGAATATGTCACCCACCTTCCTAAGCAGGGTAGCAAAAGTCACCCAATGGGAGGTCTCTGTCCCCCTTTCCGAGGACAGAAATCATGGGACCTTAGAACACACTTTGGGACAAAAACGGGGAGAGACAAAGAGAAAAATCTTAAAATCCTATGTAAGTAAATTATTTTTGTGACCAAAGACTGAGAGAGAAAAAGAGAGTGAAATGGAAGAGAGAAAGTCCAGATTGGGAAGAGAAAGAGAAAACAGAAAGTCTAGGTTGGAGAGAGAAAGACAAGTAAAGATGAGGTCGGGAAAAAGGCAGAGAAAAAATAAATGCGAGAAAGAAGAACAGAGTGGAGATGGGGGAGAAAGAGAGGAGGTGGAGGAGGGAGAGGCAGAGTTGAGATGAGGAAACAAAGAGAAATGGATTTGAGGTGAGAGACGTGAGAGGAGTAAGAAAGCAGAGAGAACAAGACGAGAAATCTCGCACCCAGGCGGTGCTGCTGACAGCCCCTTCAGCACCCCGGGCGCCACGGAAAGCTATCACACCTCTCTTGTCGCTCACACGCATACAGAAGTCAGACAGATTGGCTCCTGGCTGAGAGCTGCTAGCTGCTCCCAGACATTCTTTTCCTTTGCAGATCCTCCAAGGAAACCAACAGCATTCAGTGATAACCCAACCTCACTCTTCCCTTACCCCACAGGTCAGACTCTGAGTGACCTAAGCAGCCCCTAGGATGGATGATGCAGGACCGAGGAGCCTGATTTCAGACTCTAGCTTAAATCTGTTTGGACTTGGTTAGGGATGGTCTGCCTTGAAGCGAGGGATTACCATTTCCAATAAGGAAAGACCAGAAGCCCCTGCTAGGTAACACCACCACTGACTTCCACCTACTTTGCAGCTACAGGATTTGTATTCTGCTGGATTTTGAGTCAGGAAATGTGGGTTTGAATTCCTGTTCTGATGCTTATCAGTTCGGCCACAGGCATATCATTTCCCCTCACCCAACCTCAGTTTCCTTCTTTCTAAAACGGGCATGCATGAAACTACCCACCTTACAGATTCCTTGGGAGAAAAGCCTTAAGTAGCAAACCTTAAGGTGCAGAGAAACGAGTCGTGATTCATTTGGCCCTCATGGGTCCCAATGAGCAGAAAGGGCCTTCTCCTGAAGCAGGCAGTTCCCCAGCAACCCAGGCAGCTCCTTTCCCACCAATAGCCTCTGCCTCCGGTCTTCCTTCCCTTCTCTTCCTCCCTCCCTCCCTTCCTCCTTTCACATCCCAGAGACAGCCAGAGGCTAGGCAGGGAAGCTTGAGAACACCTTGAAGAGCGCAAAGCTGATCTGATCAGCACAACAGCTGTTTCCTTTGGCCTCTCCCCCCCATCCCCTGCCATCTGGCCTGGGGCAGTCACATCCACTGTAAAATGCCAGGCCAGCCCAGCGCAGGCCAGTCCCCGTACTGCCCCCACATGGCAAGAAACCACAAGAGTGCCTCCTCAGGTCCTGGATCTCAGAACAAGAGGACCAACCATTGCTTGTGAGGGCCTCAGGTCAGGCTACCCTGGGAATTCCAACCCCTCCTACCCCTGTCTTCCTTAGGCTATCCCACTGACTGCAATCTCCAGTCACTAAGGGTGAGGACGGCTGAGGGGAAAGCGCAGGATGGTGAACACTTTTTGCTAGACTCTGCCTAGGGGCAAGGGGGCTGGCACAGGACACCAGAAAGCTTGTTTTTTACAGACAGTGCAACACTACGGACCCCCGCTGCCCTGCACACACACACACACACACACACACAGGTGTTGGTGGCCTTGGGCAGGAGCTCTCGGCTTCCAACACTTCCCGGGCAGAAACCCCTCAGGGGCTGCAGACCCCTTGGAGCTAGAAAGATCCTCAAAAATCATCTAATCCACATTCCCCCCTTTACAAATGAGGAAACTGAAGCCGGAGAATCCTCTCCCCCTACCCCCAGTCCGTGGAGCTCTCAGCGTCCAATCCCTGCTCGAATAAGAGTGATGGGCAGAGTCGGGGCTGGGGAGCCTGGCCAAGGAGAGTGGGGGACCATGGAGCCCCGCTCCCTCCACACAGGCTGACAGGAAGCCGGCACCAGCTCGGGAAGTAGCCCCACTCACTCGGGTGGCGGTGGCGGTGGCGGGGTTTTCAGCCCCGGGTCCCAGGCGTAGCGCAGCTCCCGGCTCTACCTGCCTTCGGGAACGTCTCCCTGGTGCGCACCTATTGGGTCAGGGGTGGGATTCTCCGCGTCTTTGCGCCGCGGCTCCTCCATGGGTCGGGACGTCCCTACTCTGGCCGCCCCCAAGCAGGCAGTCCAGCCCCTCCCCTCCCAACCCAGCCCACTTCAAGCTCCTCCCCACGTGGCTGCGGGAAAGGAACACACTCTATTACCTGCCGGCAGCACCCTCCTCTAATCCACTAATCTGAACCAGCAAAAGACTCCCCTGGATTAGCATCACCCAATCCGCGGCCTGGAAGGAGGCCCGCCACTAGTCACAAATCTGTCTTCTCTTCTCTTCCCCCACCCCAGTCGTCCTCCTTAAAGGGGCCGGAGGTGCTGTCTTCCTCTTACCTTGGCTGAGGAGAAGCTTCAGCTGGGCTGAAGGTACGGGTTCTCGCGAAAGAGGCTAAGCCAGTCTGGGGGAAGGGGATTTGGGCATACCGGTGAAAGCCCATTGGATTTGGTATCAGGAGACGTGGGTTCGAATCCTTTACCATCGACTTGACGCTGGCCGAATCTGTTAATCTTCTAGGTGTCCTTTTCTGTAAGATAAGTGGTTTGGGTTGGATGGTTTCTGAAATCCGACAATTCCTCGGAAGCGTGGGTCAGCGTTCTCATCCAGGGCCAAAGAGGCAGCTGATGCTGTGTTTCGGTAGAGTGCTAGCACCTTCTCTCACCGCCTCCCCACCCCCACGACTAAATGGGTAGCTGCGGTGGGTGCTGGGTGGAGTAGGAGCTTTGAGGGCTACTCTCGCCCATCTTGGTTGGCCGGGAGAAGAGCTATGTCTATTATCTTGCAATCCAGGGTAGGTCAAGGTTTCTAGAATCCCAATTCTAAAAATTGGCCCCTGGTACCGTGCCTTGTACTTAAATTGCACTTGCTTAAATTTCCTGGTTTGACTCTGCAAGTCCACTCCTTGCTAGGAATAAAAAACCTTTTGAGATCCCTCTAAGACAGAGAGAGAAAAGACAGAGGCAGGACGTTCTCTAGGTTAAACAGCAATACAAGTACAGCTAGTAGGAATACTGGATTTTGTGAACAAATGGTGTTCCCGACCACTAACCAGCTGTTTGACTTGGGACAAATCGCAATCCCCTCTGTGGACCTCAGCTTCCTCATCTGCAAAATGTGAAAAATGCGAAAAATGCAAATTTATTTAAAAAAAAAAAGCTGATGTCCAGGTTCCTTCTAGCTCTGACATTCTTCTGATTCTATACTTCTACTCTCCCCATCTTCTCTCCATCACTGGCTCTCCATACCCCATCCACATGCATACAGTCTTTGAAGCAAAGCACAACACAACGCGGCGTGGTAAGGGTGGGGAAGAGAGCCGAACACGGAGGAGCAGGTGCGCAATCTCAACTACTAAAAATTCAGTCGCTGGGAGAAAGGGATGGCTGCTTTTATAGTTCGTGAACCGAGATGTGCTCGTAATAAAGAAGGATGGAATAATGGGGGGGGGGGGAGACTGAAGGTTGGAAACTGAGTCCTTAGCCAAGAAAGCAAAAGAGTGCCTAAGAGAATTAGGTTAGAAAAATGGAACAGCAGGATGACCCTGAAGTCTGAAGCCAAAAGAACGTGTTTTTACACCCAGTACTTAAAGCAGTCTTTCTGGTGGTGTCATTATAGATAATGTGATCTGGAGAAGCCAAAAAAGAGAAAGCCTTTGGACTCTGGATTTGGAGTTGGCAGGAAAGATAACTCTCATTCCCTTGGGCAAAGGCAGGGATGTAGGGGCCTCAGCTGTGACAGCCTTGATCCATCCCTATGCAGATGAAATCACAAGGAACAGGAGAGAAGTAGGGACGTCATAGATGGAGTTGCAGATAATAACTTTCTAAATGCAATTAATTTGAGGCAACAATGCAGGCCTCCCTGCTGGGGA